GATTTTGCGATCTCGAAGAAGAATCGACGTTTACGCTTTATCTGGTAAGCGTCTTCATCTCTGAAACTGATCTGATCTGATCTGTGGTAGATCTCAATTTCTTCTATGTTCATTGCACGATTTTGAATCTCACTTGTTCGGTAGCGTTTAGATCTGTTGAAATTTTCATCTGAATCGTGTTTTGGTTTTGTGTGGAGTGAAATTCTTTTTGATTCGTCTCTGTGATGTGGTTTTTGTAGAGTGATTTATAATGCTGACGAAGTTRGAGACAAAGAGTAACAGAGTTAAGGGCCTGAGCTTCCACACCAAGAGGCCATGGATTCTCGCGAGTTTGCACAGTGGTGTGATCCAGCTATGGGATTACCGTATGGGGACGTTGATCGATAGGTTCGACGAGCATGAAGGACCTGTTCGTGGTGTTCATTTCCACAAAACACAGCCTTTGTTCGTCTCAGGAGGTATCATTTTTGTTTATATGGAGCTTGGATTGGTTTATTTGAGTGGATCATTAGTAATTCATATCCTGAAGACTATCTTAGCTTACATTTTCTTTTTTCATGGAATGATCAGACCATAATCTGTCATAGTCTTTCCTGCTCTATGTGTGCCTTGTAGAGTTTTTGGAGAAGCAATAACCTGCAACATATGTAAATGAAAACGAATTGCAGATTGTGGAGAGTTTAGTTTATGCTTTTTTTTTTGTGAGATACAGTTTTGTGCACATGCCTCTGATTGGGTAGTGCTTCTTAGACTACATTGTGCCTGTAGGCAAGATTCTCTGGATGGTCCAATATGCCTACTTATTGATTGCTTTGAATGAAATAATAGGCGTCCTGTGTAGTTGATTCSATTGACAACGTTGYTTGTTGCAGGGGATGATTACAAGATTAAGGTCTGGAACTACAAAACACACAGGTGCCTTTTCACTCTCCTCGGACATCTTGATTATATCCGCACKGTGCAGTTTCACCACGAGTACCCCTGGATTGTGAGTGCTAGTGACGATCAGACTATCAGYATATGGAACTGGCAATCAAGGACTTGTATTTCTGTCTTGACTGGTCACAACCATTARGTTATGTGTGCTTCTTTCCATCCYAAAGACGACCTTGTCGTATCAGCTTCCTTGGACCAGACTGTCCGTGTTTGGGATATTGGTGCTCTTAGGAAGAAGACKGTATCTCCTGCTGATGACCTCCTGCGTTTGAGTCAGATGAATGCRGATCTTTTTGGTGGTGTTGACGCTATAGTCAAGTACGTGCTCGAAGGTCATGACAGAGGAGTAAACTGGGCTTCRTTTCATCCTTCCCTGCCTCTCATTGTCTCTGGCGCAGATGACCGCCAAGTCAAGTTGTGGCGCATGAATGGTATGTTTTATAACTTCTTTTTTGTTGCATATTTAAAATTTGGTATTCAATTATGGATGATACATCGATACGGAATTTGTTCACTGTATACT